AACAGTCTAGAAGGACCAGCGCCTTATAAAAGGCTGTACTGAACACGCTAATCCATTCCGTTGTCTCTGTTCCGTCTGGAATAAAGCCTTCCTATCAGAATCACTCTCTTGGCTTCTTCTGCCTATTAGTCGGGTCCGAATAAACTGGGCTATAACACAGGATAAATCGGCCGAACAACGAGGTGCCTGGAAAATAGGGTACGTGAGCACATACCGGCCTGATTAAATAAAGGTGAAACTAGATCGATCTCGAGTTCTATTCTCGCACATCAAGTCGATACTAACGAAGCCCTTCGGTTGTCTACCGGACACCAGCCAACTTTTCCAAGGGCCTACGCCAACGGGTGTTTGCAACAGCCGAAGCAGTGGCTATACGGCTAGCGAATCCGGTGCAGTGTTGTCAGAAGAAGCTGATAGAAGCCCTTGCACTTCCGTAGCGGACGCCGACGCCAGATGGCGATCGCATTTTGCCCCCACCCCCACTGACAGTCGTTCGCTGTGCGCAAATAGCCGCAATTATCCCTCCATGTATCTGCCATCTGATCAACCCCCACAAACTAACCCAATTACCTTCCCTACTCCCCCCCCCAACACAAGAACCTCTACACGCCGACCCCGCCATGCGGGCGGCGCATAAACGATGAATCGTAATTAGACTACACTATTTAACCCTCTCCAGCTGTACAGTTTTCATTACCCTGCAAATGTTTGGCCTGATGATGATTTGCTGAAAACATATGTTTGCAAAAATTGACTTCTCAAATAAAAAGTACTAATTTTTGATAAGAAGAATGAATTTTTGTTAATAACAGTCAAGTTCTGCGGACATAAAAAATTGTTATAAATTAGAAAATAAATTTTAATATTTTCGTAATCTTAATGGAAAGCCTTATTAATTTCTTTATATCAAAAGAACTTTTCCTTATTTCATTATACCTACTTGCAGACTGACCTTTAAATTCCGACAAATTTTCAATGCTTTTCTGTGTTTTCAAACTTTATTTCATTAGCGTAGATTCTGTTCGGTGTCAGTATCAAAACCTTTAAAATAAGTTATCTATTAAAATCATTTACCAAAAAATTAGTTTTTGGATATAAGTTGCCATGAAGCTGGTCATGCGGGACATATTTAAAATTCTTCCAAACACCGAAATCCATTGTCGAACAAAAAGAACGGCTGCAACAGCAGTCTGATATTTTTATTCCTGAGATTAATAACAAAATTCTATAATAGGTTATCTCTTTAAAGAACACTTTAGTTCGCTCTTCAGCTGACGAATATTTATGCATGTTACCTTTTTCCAAGGTAATGTCAAGATGAATATGGAGGTATTTTACAAGTTTTTTTAATTTACTCGAAGATAAATTATACAATTTGGCTGAAAATAAAAGAACTCACTTTTCTCTTTCTATTGAAGTATTTTCCATCATAGGCGGTCACTTTCAGGCTCTGTTCTAAGCATGTGAATGCAAAAAAGAGTGGCCGAATAGATACTAAAATTTTGACATAATTCTTCTTCTTCTGTCTGGTCCGTTTCCGACTTATGCATAAGCAAAAATTACAGTGTAAAAAAGTATATTTCTATGTGCTTTAACTTTTATAAGATTTGATTTCACCTTCACCTTCGCGATAATATATGGGCAGTTTTGGTTACGTCCCAATTCTTTGATGCAGTAAAACGAAATGCGGTTAAAGCCTTTTGGTTACTGCATTTCGTGACAAAAACGTTAAAGACTCTATGACCAAAGGGTCTCGGGTTCGAATCTGTAGTGATCCACACTCGGGATTGGGCCTGACTGGCCAGAAATGGCCATTCCGGTCTCTCCTGTCCTTGTCTGCCTAAAGGAGCCGGGAAATTTCCCGCGCAGACATGGACCAATCAGGTTCTTAGGAAGCACTGGAGCCAATGAGGAGATGCCATCGACTGCGTGTCTTTGGCATACATCGTGGGAGATGGACGCATTCGCTCTACTTGGAGACTGACTTTTCTTGGAAATTAGTGCGCGTCCCCAATAGCTTTCCCAGAATTGAAGCCTACTATCAAGATATGCTTGAGCAAATAAAAAAAAGAATCCCAAATTAATTCTCTACTTAAAACTGGCTTTGTCCTAGTGTTTTGCTCATAGAAGCCACAGTCCTTCGTCCGTTTTCTATCGTGTCCTTCTCCTTGCCGTGTAGGTGAATCTTGTGAAAAATCGCCGCTCCGACTGTCTCCCACATGAGGCCAATCGGGTGAAACTCACTCCCATTCGCGGCGTGGAGGGGTCCGACTATATCAACGCCTCCTACGTGGACAGTTACAGTTCCCGATCAGCCTTCATTGCCACGCAGACTCCGCCTGCGGAATGCTTGGATGATTTCTGGCGTATGGTTTGGGAAACGGGATCCTGTATCATCGTCCAGCTTGATCGAAGGGTTGAAGACAGTGTGCCAGATGTAAGAATTTGTTTTCTGTTTAGAATCATTTTTTCTTGTAAATATCTTAAAAAACCACTGGATACGTTTTACACGACCAATACATATTTTTTTCCCTTCAGGCCCCCTACTGGCCAACAGATGAGCCAATCAGATTCGACTATGTCGTGGTTGAGCCGGTCGCCGACTACGGAATGCCGGCCTATATCCTG